TTGGGGACAGAAGAGGATACTGTCATTTGAAGGCGAAAGCTCTAGATCGCATTAAGTGGAAGAATTGTTTTGGAAGAGACTGGACCTGTCGTCTGACAGATTACTGATGATGATGTTGATGTTGACGTTGACTACTTGCTGATTTAGCAAGCTTGTGGTGTGACAGGTTCTGTATCCATGGCTTCAGCCTTTTATGGATGTGCTGGAACATGTAATAAATACAATACAATATATTAAAGTTACATAACAGCATTATGTGTAGCTGTCAAGTTGTGAACATAAGTTATGAGGAATGCAGTCTTCTGGGATTTGGCACCGTGTATATGTGGTGTTAACCGACGTTTCGGAGGAACGTATCGCCCCCATCTTCAGGGTTGAAGAAAAAGTATAAGTCCATACAAATTATCCAGTTTCCTCCGGCCGGTTAAAGACAGCCTGGGCCTAAGGACACCGGGCGTATACAGTATCCCATGCGAGTGCGGGAAAGTCTATATTGGACAGACAGGCCGCTCCGTGGACACGAGGTTGAAGGAGCATCAGCGGCACATCCGTCTCGAACATCCGGACAAGTCGGCCGTAGCTGAACACAGCATCGAACTGGGACACCGCATTCAGCTTCAGAATACCTCCATCCTCGCCACCAAGACGCGCTATATGGATCGCATCATTAGGGAAGCCATTGAGATCGAACTGCATCCAGGGAATATGAACAGAGAGGATGGGTTTCGTCTCAGCAAGTCTTGGAAACCTCTTATCTGTTCTCTTAAAAACCCCCCACCGGGATATGACGCCAGATCCAGGAAGCCACAAGGCCATGACCAACCAACATAACAACCCCCCCCCCTCAGCTCACAGTTAAAGCCCAGCCATTTAACCTTGCTATCTCTCCCCTACACAAAATCGCTTGTCCCGGCTCCCTTCCCCCACCCCTCCCACACCACTGCTTTCACTTGTTCACTTGCAGTTCATCCCCTTCCCTCTCTGCTCTAACGGTATACTCTTTAGTCTGCTTTATCGTGTCTCACGGTGTTGTCGCTTGCAGATTTACTTATACTTTTTCTTCAACCCTGAAGATGGGGGCGATACGTTCCTCCGAAACGTCGGTTAACACCACATATACACGGTGCCAAATCCCAGAAGACTGCATTCTTCATAGTCACCGCCGTGAAAGCCTCAAATCTTACATAAGTTATGAGGTTATGAGATAAGAACGCCATGTAGTTATGAAATATCTATGATGGAAACCTTTTCTTCTCAATATCCAACTTCTCTCCTAATTGTCTGTGAATACTGTGTCTATGTATGATGTGGTTTAAAAATGTCCAGTTCGTATCAGTAAGAGAATTTGGAATTGAAGAAATGTTTATATATTTGTACTTCTTTACAGCAACTGCTGGGGAAGTGTCTCCTGATTGAAGTCATATTGGTTAAACTACTTCACATAATCAGTTTCTAAGAACAGGATATTCCTTTGCAGTGCAAAGGACCAGGTTTGTAAAATCATTTATAGCTATGTGTGAGAATTGGGAGGACAGAATTATATAATTTTGATAGTAGTTTACCTGTTCAATTTGAGGTTTTTACAGCACTGAGTGTAAAGAGTTCTGTCTCTTGGGATATAATGTCCATATAGGATGAGGCAGTATGGATCAGATTAATCTGGCTCAGGATACAGACTAGTGGAGGACTTGTGAACACAATAACGAACCATCAGGTTCCATAAATGTTGGGTACTTATGAGTAGCTGAGCAACAGATGACTTCTGAAGAAGGGCTCATCTCCAATGTCTTGGTGGTATCGTGAATGTAAACCAACATTTTGGTGGAATATTGCCACTAGAGCTGTTTACTGTTTGCTTCATGTTGGGGTTCCCCCCCCCCCNCAATATTCCGACATTGGAATGTTCCGCAGTAAGGATGATTTAACTTTTACCCGACCACACGGCATTATATATGCTACAAGCTTGAACTCGGTAGTTAACCTTGCCGACTGAACTGCCAGTTGCTAATTACTTCATATGCCTTTTGCGTAACCCATCAACACATGTTATTGTTGGTGTAGTTGAGTGGGGTTTTCGGCAATCACGCGACATCCCCTACATTAACCACGGCGGAATATCCTCACAACGCAACTAACGGTAACTAATTTCTCATTCAGTCAACTGCCTTACTAGTTTTTTATTGTGAAAAAGAATGCGATATCTTCCTACAATACTTGGAATCAAGGGGGTGAAACTCCCACTGGGGAGAGGGAACACACGCAGAACTGCCATCTCTACGCATCCTATATGAATTAGATAATCTGGAAATAACTGGAATCGATCATAATATACCTATCGCAATTAATCGGATCGCATAAGTTTGAACCAATCAGAGAATCTTGAAGATCTTGAACATCTTAAACCTAGGGACCGACCTTGACCATCTTGACCGTTTTCGACTGCTTGGGCCGCTTGGGCGTTGGCACGTTATTACTGCGTAATACGATAATGACCCTGAGATGTCGTTATGTAAAGCTCCTTGTCCGGAAGAGGCGGTAACTAGTTGCCGAACGGTGAGAATGTTTTAGTACACGTTCCGTCTTCACAAAACAGGACAAAGGACTATGTAGTCTTATTCAAGTGTAACTATCATGTAGATACATCATTAAATAAAGCGTGTGTGTGTTATAGAGTTGTTGCTGAGTTCGCTTGACCGCCTTTGTTCAAGCCAAGGCCCACTTAACGGCCCTAGTGATAGTCTCATGCCTCATGTTCCCCGGCTGGGGTGGCGCCCAAACAACTATCAAGGATCAAGGTGAGGCAACATTATTACCAACTTCTACAAAATCGCTAGCAGGTGATTCACCAGTGAGCAGTTGCGACCATTTTTACCCTACGCAGAAGGCAGTTGCGGCCAGCTTTAATCCAACGCGCGGCTCAGCGCACCACAAAAAGTTAACGGCGACAGGACATTATATCCTGAACCCATCAGGGATTCTGAAAATCGCACAGATTGTAAGTAACACATTTGATACGTTTTCATTATTATAAAGGAACAAAATGACGTACTTTGATTACGCTTACATGGCATAGTGTTTAATTGGTTAAGCACAGGGACAACTTTACCTTCTTTCTTTCGATTTTTTCGTCATCGAAAGTGGCACGGGAGATGCCAGCTACAAGTGAAGATCTAGATCCCGAATGTGGGGTAGCTCCCCCCCCACCCCCACCCCCCAAAATATTTATATCATGACCCTATCTGGGGTCGTCAGTGGGCTACAGATTGTACTGAATATCATAGATTGTAACTAACTCATTTGATACGTTTTCATTAATATAAAGGAACAAAATTGAACCTGTTGATGTTATTTGGGCACTTATGTCAATGTGTTTGTAGTCTTATGTTAAGTTTTTGGTTCAGGTGTCCAGCGTTGCAAGAAAGATGGCTGATTAAGGCATACTAGATCTTCCAGCTACCCATGTAGTCGAACAAAATGCCGAAGTGGGAGAAAATACACACCACAAGGAACATTATATCCTGACCCCATCAGGGATTCTGAAAATCGCACAGATTTTAAGTAACTCATTTATAGGTTTTCATTATTGTGAAGGAACAAAATGAACTACTTTGATTACACTTTCATGGCATAAGTGTTTAATTAGTTAAGCACAGGGACAACTTTACCTTCTTTTACTTTGATCTTTTGGTTCAGGTATCAAAAGTGGCAAGGGAGATGCCAGCCACAAGTGAAGATCTAGATCCCGAAGGGAGGATAACTACCCCCTTCAGTAGTCTTTATATCAAGACCCTATATAGGGTCCTGAATGGGCTACAGATTGTACTGAATATCATAGAGATTGTAAGTAACTCATCTGATACGTTTTCAATAATATAAAAGATCAAAATTGAACTGATTGCTGTTATTTGAGCACTAATGTAAATGTGTTTGTAGTCTTATGTTAATTTTTTGGTTCAGGTGTCCAAGCGTTGCAAGAAAGATGGCAGATCAAGGCATACTAGATCTTCCAGCTAACAATGTTGAACAAAACGCCGAAGTGGGGGAAAATACCCACCACGAGGAACATTATATCCTGACCCCATCAGGGATTCTGAAAATGGCACAGGTTGTAACTCATATGATCATCTTGGGCACAACAGCCCAGTGTTGGGCCTTGGCCTCCCTTATCAAGCCCCTCCATTCCTCTGTAAGAAGTAATTGCGCTGAGTTTCACAGGAATCAGGGCTTTCGACAAGCACTTGCTATCGTGCTGCGAAGAAATCTAAGCTTCATGCATACCGAATCTCCACGGTGCACGAGTTAAAAGAGCCAGATTACGCGAAGAGAATGGCGTATTGTCAATGGTTACAGACCCTTGTCCAGGATAATCTGGACATTCTGGACTACACTTGGTTTTCGGACGAGGCATGGTTCCATCTTTCCGGATACATTAATTCGCAAAATTGTCGCATTTGGGCAAGCAAGAATCTCAATGCGATACACGAAGAACCCCCTTATTCCAAGAAGATTGGTGTTTGGTGTGGAATTTCCTGGCGGCGCATAATTGGACCCATCTTCTTCGACACGACAATCACAACAGCAGCGTACCTAGATATCTTCCACTGCTTTGTGAATCAACTGGACGATGAGGAATTATCCATCGGTTTTTCCAGCAGGATGGAGCAACAGCACACACCTCGCGCACAAGCATGGCCGAAATCCAGTGTTTTTTTGGCGACCGTGTCATTTCCAGGAGACTTTGGCCACCGCGCTCGCCCGATCTAACGCCGCCTGATTGTTTTTTGTGGGGACATTTGAAAGCGTAAGTTTACACCAACAAACCGCGAACCATAGAGGCTTTAAAAGCAAACATAAGTGAGGCCATCCAAGAAGTGACACCTGACGTACGGGCAAGGACTTTCCAAAACATGGCGCGCCGAGTCCAGTGCTGTCTGGACGCAAATGGTGGCCATTTCTAGCACTTGTTATGATGTCACCAGACTTCACATGAACTGAGGTAAGTCCACTCCAAATTTCGTTGCAATATCTTTATTAGTATCCGAGTTATTAACAAAATGCCAGGTTCTGCCCCGAGTGAAACACTCTTTATTACGTACAACATCCTGTCACTAACAAACTTATCCCTCATAACTGCTGATATGATTCACTTGTGTACAAAAACACCTGTGCTTAATTCATGATTCTCATTCCCCTTTTATAGAAAAATATGTATTCACCTAGTGATTTGGCACCACCCCAGTCCCTTCTGACCGCCTGTATGCCCTCTAAATCTGACTTATGTTTTGACATATATTTTGCAAACATCTTGAGGGAACCTGCCCCATATAGACTTCTTATATTCCACATGCCAAATATTATATCGAATCTTCCTTAGCCTAGGTCATTTATCCAAAGAATCCGTCCAAGTCCAAGGCCCTTTGTGACATTTCATAGCACAGTTATTTTTATGGTGAAGAGTTGTTAGCCTCACATGCTACCCACAAACTGGAGGACCACCCCTTGTTGGCTGTCTTATTTGTATATTCGCAGCCACCCTCCAAATTTGGAGGCCATCTCCATCTGAAATCTGAGGATGTTCCAAGCTGTGGTGACAAGGGAACCACTTAACATGGAGCCTTAACAGTAAAAATTTCTATTTAGATTTCTTGTCAGTGGTCATGCAGTTAGGTTTCTTCCTTTTTCAGTGTGTTAAACTACGTTCCCGTATCTGTTCATGTTTTATTTGACCATGAATGAAAATAATAAATGAACTGCACTGCTTATTGCATCCATAATGATAAATCTGTGTAATAAATAAGCCTGGTAGGAGAAGGATGGAACATATTGTAAAAGGAAATGGTATTATTTGCATTGATGGGGTTGGGTAGTTGAATATTTAAAATGGAAGAGAACAGAATCATTTAGATGGCTTACCTCAGAGCTATACCTGAATTCAGAATTGAGCAATGAGCAATTTCTGACTCTGTCTCTTCCAAGATTAAAATGAGAAGGTATCTGAGTGTGAAGTGACACCAAGCTCATAACTTCATAACCTCGTTCCCCTTCTTACATTGTCTTTATTGTGACATAAGCATGTTTGAACTAGAATTATTGATGTATTTAGTTCTGTTGACAAGTGAATGAGGTCTCTTTAATTCAGAGTCATATAATACCTACTGATATTGGCTATTACAGTGATACAAAGCTCTTGCCATAAGTTATGGCATGCATGCGCATAACCCCCCCCCACACACACACACACACACACACACACACACACATGAAATTTGTGGTGTGGACAATTGGTTTGTCATGTTTCTTATACCTCATAAGTTACTATATGCAGTACCTTCAAAGGGTTGTGTGTCAGAAGTGAACACAGGTATGCTGGAGGCTTGCTTGTGTATGCACTGACATGCATATTCTCTGTACATAGAATTAATCAGGTCTTGTTATACTAGTGCATGTAGTAGTTCCCAGAGGAGAGTGCAGTGCATGGAAGGTTTTGATTCGGGGAAATTGATTGCTTTGAGAAATGGGCTAACAAAAATTTTGTCAGTGATCGCGAAAATTGTCAGTAGAAACACTGCAGATAATTCAGATAGCATAAGGCAAAGAAGTTTTATTCTGGCCTTGGATATGGTAGGTTCAGGGATTACTGTGAATCACTGGACAGCAAACATAGTGGGCAACTTGCATCATTGAAGTATTAGGAAAATATGAGAACTGTGAAAGGTTCTGTTCTCTTGTCAGCACCAAACAGTAGAGGGAACTGTGGATAATGTAAAAAAATTCAGTTCAGGGTGAAATCCTTGAAAGAATTTCTTGACCCAGTTGTGAACGGGCTTTACATGATAAACACTTTCCACCATAAACAGCAAACATTTCTTTATGAATATCCTTAACATAGAGTCCTTTTGCCCACAGAAAAAACGCACCACAGAACGCTGCTCTTCGCTAGTACACTCCTCATGCACGGTCGCCATATTCACTACTGACACCAGCCTCTGACCATGCACATGCGCGTCTGCTATCTAGATTGTCATGAAGATGGACTGTGCTGCTACTTAACACTTTGCGGACGAGCGATTTAAATATTTAATTCACCCTGGGGACTGCCATTATTAAACCTACTATCCTAACACTTGCACTGTTCACTTTAAAATTAATATAAAATCTCCTAATTTTTTTATTTGTTTCATCCTGGTCCATCACACTAACAATTATAAATACAAACCACTCCGTCCAATGTGACATATAAGTTTTTACTACATGAAAACTTATCTCCCTTACATGTTTCGGTCGTTACTGATCATCTTCAGAGGGAACACCATTACGAACTGGAAACTACCATCACAATAGGTGTTTTGATTTAAAATACATACACTTATATCCTATAATGCACAGTGTGCATAAAATCGAACATTTCACAATCACAGCAGCTTCCTGGTATTGTAAAGTTTTAAAAAGTTTCTAGATGTTAATTTAAAAAACCTTTATTGTCACTAGTTAAAACTTTTTAAACATAGGTTCGTGCCCATACTCCTATCGTCCTTGTATGGGCCAGATTTTGTGCCGCCTGTCTATCTTGATGAGGAGGTTCTTGATGTCGTCCAGGGTTTGCTCGTGGCTTGCTGTGTTGTTTTCACTGTGAACAGTGAACAGGCAGCACAAAATCTGCTGCAGTCTCGCACCTTGCTCACACCAGACAACATTGCCTGCGTGAATGCAATGGTGAAAGCGGGTCGTTGTGTGCACCTGAAGGTTCGTTTCCAAGGAGCATGGCATTTCGTATGTCGGCGTTTACGATATCGTTCATGATTCCTTGGTATATCACAATGTTTCATGTCAGTGGGTGCCTAAACTGTTGGATGATCTGAACAAGGCCAAGAGAATGATGATGTCACTGCAACATTTGCAGTGTTACTCCGAGGAGAGTGAAAGGTTCCTGGATCTCATTGTCACCAGAGATGAAATGTGGGTATTGCATTTCACTCCAGAATCCAAGCAGCAGAGCATGATGTGGAAACATCCCACTTCACCTGTCACGAAGAAATGCCGCAGAATGCAGTCCGTTGGGAAGTTGATGGTCACGGTCTTCTGGGATCGTCAAGGACCACTCCTGCCGGATTTCATGCCACAAGGTGCCACCATCGGCGCGGACAGCTATTTGTCACACTCGCACGTCTGCGAGCTGCCATCAGGAAAAAGCGCCCGGTAATTCTCGTGGACGATGTGGTTCTCCTCCATGACAATACCAGGCCTCGTGGCAAACAAGACCGCCGCACGACTACAGTCATTAGGATGGGAGATTATGGAGCATGCACTGTATAGTCCAGACCTCGCCCCCAGTGATTACCATGTATTCGGTCCACTGAAGAAGTTCCCTGCAGGCCAGAGGTTCATTTCTGATGACGATGCAAAAACTGCTGTCCAGCAGTGGTTCCGTGCTCAACCAGTCAAATTCTACAACAGCGTCATCTCGAAACTAGTGGTGTGATGGGACAAATGCCTGAACCAGGTTGATGACTATGTGGAAAAATAGTCAAAGGTACTTGGAATCCTGCCTGTATTTTGATTTCCCTGTATGTATATTATTGTGGCTGAAAAATAGGGGCAAAGTCTTCAATTTGCCTTCATACACCATCAGATAGTGACATTACATCACTATTAGAAAGTCACTAATTGCTGTTTTCGGAGTATATGTTACGAGTGACTCTTAATGGTGTTTTGGATTGGTGATTGGATTTATTGACCACTTTACGACACGACTTGTGACTACACTTAAATTATAGTGCCATTGTTAATTTCCACACTTTGCAAATCACTACTGCCCACGCTGAATCTTTTCCAGCCTGCAGTGTCTTCACTAGCTGTTTCCTGGTAACGGTTTTCACAGTAGTGGGGATTCTTCAGCTGCTCTCACCAAGTGTCTTCGTCACATTCCCTTACAAGTGACTTAAACTTGTCTCGGTTATAACATGTTGGCACAGACCATGTGGAAAACACTGTTCAATGTTATATTCGCTATCGATTCCATGAGAACATGTTTGTTTGCAAAGACATTACCCAGTAACTGCCGCATGTACTTATTAAAACTCTGTTGCCTAGCATCGAATGTTGTTTCATTGTTTGTTTCGAGGTCGTTACCCATTAATGACTCAGCATGCTACAATATGATGGGGATGAAGATCACCATTCCAGAGATTTTGTTGGACAACTCTTGTAAGGTTGCCTACTTAAGTTGTGGCATGCCCTTGGAGATGTTTTACATAAAGTCTGTTGTGATAGTTTTAGAAATGTGAGGAAAATGGAAACACCATTTCTGTTCCAGGATAAAGCTGAAGTTTCAGAAAATTTACCCAGTGTCACATCATCTGATAAAACTGAAGGAGACCTTAAAGCTGACTCAGATGAAGAAGAGGATGCCAAAGAGAAGGGGAAGTTGAATCCCAATTCTGGCAATGGATGTGACCTTCCAAACTGTAGGTGGACACAAACATTATCAGAGATTGAGGTAAGTGACTACATTATCATTTCTTCAGTCCTTTCCCATGGAAAGTATACGGAAAAGAGCTGACCTAATTTTTGAATTGGATTCCTTCATGGACCATATATTTTGCTTGTTTTAAGTGCGGGGTTATTATAAATGATTTGGGTGGCTAGAAATTAGTGTATCTTCAAGACAGTGACAAAGACAGACATGAAACAAGTTTAAACAGCATAGTAACTCATGAAGTTACAGCTGACACATATTGATGTTGGCTGTGGCCTGTGAAATTTGCTCTCAGAGGGACTGTGGCACCAGAAGCTATGGAATACTTGCTGTGTCACGTCATCATAGGTGGAAGTTAAGGTCCAGGTTTCTAGGGTACAAAGGAATGAGTCCTGCTTTTCCTTCCAAGCTTTTAGCAGGCTTTTGTCCAAAAGCCCCTCACAGCCATATGGGAATGAGGCAAATTTTCATTCTTTTGGAAATGGAGTTACTCCAGGAAATCATCCTTTAACTTAGTGAAGTTCTCTACAGGCTCATAGAGCTGACTTTCATGAATGTGATGTACAGTTTCTTTGCTATGTGTGGTGTGCCAGTGCTCTTACTCTTACAGACACCCTTTGTTTACAGATTTCTTATACCAACCTGTGAATGAGTCAGCTTTAGTCAGTTGATTACCGTGCTTTGTTCTGAAGTCCCGTTGAAATATTTTCCCCAAACATGTCGCATGAAACCACAAGCAACATTATGCTTGTTGCACCTGAGACATAATTTTCCTTTGATAGTGATTGGAGCACCACTTGTGGCTGGTATGTTACAAACAGTGTTGCCAATGAAAACTTAATGCATTTTCTTGCTGTTTTCAAATTGTTACTTGTTTGTATCTGTAACTGTTTAAGAAATATACTGATTTCTTATCAGCCACATAATTTATAATTGTCCTATATATATTTCAGTTAACCCTTTGACGTGGTCATTTAAATTCCGCGGCCGCGGCTCCTGCGGTAATATATTCAGCCGGCCATTTAAATTTTGCTCGAAAATTATTTATTCATCATTGTTCTTAAATTCTATGAGATAGGAACATGAAACTTTCACTAAAATGATCTTAAATGGTGGTTTTATAACCTTACCTTATAATATGGGCGCCCTGTATCTCGGCCATGGAAGCAGGTTGTTTAGTATTTCAGCAGTGAATGGTACGCCTTGAAGGATGAA